CAATACCCATCAGTGATACCATTGCAATATATTTGGGTAAAATGTCCAATAAGTTAATTCTGAATGGCGAAGCCGACTTAGCAATTTGCACAACCTCCCTTCCAAACATCTCTCCTTTGACTTAAAAAAATATTTTGATTTTAGTGCACTCTTTACATGAATTCTTAACAATATTTTCAAAATTTTCTCAAAATTGGCCCCAAATTGTTTACATTTTCTTAGGTAGAGCAAAAATAAAACAACTTAAAATTACCGATAGCTTATTCTCGTTTCACTCATCGAATTTTCGAAAATTTCGAAATAAAGAGACAGTGTGGGATATTGTACAACTGTTTTAATTCTTCCTTAAGTAATCATTATGATAAGGGACATGTTTGACTGACCAATTATTTGCCCGTTTTCTTTTTGTGTTATGATTTAGTAAATGTTTCGAGTACTTCTTGTATAGCAATAATGACATTAATTAATTCTAATCAATATAACCAAGTCTCTTGTCTACTCTAACCAACCTTAACTTATATTTATTAAATTAATCTTACGCGCAGACAGCTTTTTATTTGTTTAAATTTAATTTTGTATTTTACCGATAAATCTTTATTCCCAAACCTGACATTAAGTTAATAGAACAATTGCACTTTTACATAAGGGCTATTTAGAGGACAATATCCTTACGATTCAAAATATTTAGGATTTTTTAATTATTGATATGTTCAAATATGCGTTATGTATTTCAATTTGATGCAAAATGTATTTTCTTCAGTAGATGAAAAGATAATTAATGCCGCTAAGTTTTGAGCACTAAGTAAGTAGCAATAGACTTCTCTAAATGACTATGAACCAGATGTCAGGGTCATACGGTCGACCCAAGAAATTTTTTCCATCCTTCTTTTTCATCTTGTGGCATCTCTGGACGCAATGCCTGTGAACTCGAGTAAACTAGTTTTTTTTGCTCGCGAACTTAACATGCCTATCTAAGTGAATTTGAAAACAATTCGGAAAAGAAAATAATGCAAAGTTATAGTTAGTATTTATTAATATATATTTAATAAATAAAAAGATTTTAAGTGTAATGTTGCATTTTTGATTTCCGATTTGTTTTACAAACACAGTTAGATCAGGCATCAATTAAATCATTACCTTAATGTTCCGTGTTTGTAAGTACTTGTATGTAACTTATATGTTATAATTTATAATGGGTTAACTTTTATTTTAAAAATATTTCTAAAAAATGGTTTTTAGAGCGACAGCGCAAATATCTCAGCTTGCTTGTGACGCAAATTTAATGTCAGTCTTGTATATATGAGATATGTAGTGGTTTATTTCGACCTCAGTCAGAAAAAGAGAACGTCCGCGAGGAATTTCAAATCCCTAATATTGAATTAGCAAAGTAACACCTGCGACCGATTGATCCATTATTACCAACGCATTCATACACGTACCAACTTCAGGTGATTTGTGATCACACAAATTTTACAAAGAATGTTTCTCCAATTCTTTCTCAATTCAAAACTCAATAAAAACCGACAACTCATCATATTAGAACTGCTTGAAAACTATATTTTGAAAAGTTCGAGGTATCCAAAAGAAGTCGAGAAAATAGGAGTCGTTTAATCTTCTCAATCAAAAGGGAAATAATTTAATTATTTTGCAACATTTCTATCACATTTAACATAGAGCAAAAGAATCGATTTATAGCACCACAAAACACTGAAGTCACTAGATAGGCCCTCCCACCCACAACTGGAGGTGTGCATTGTCGTCATCGTCGGAGGACCTACAGAGCAAATGTGCAAGTAATGTATTCCGTATAGGGCCTACGTATTTTTATTTGGTTTTGGTAAATTTACAATGATAACGAAGTTATTTTCTTTTACGAGAATTTCTAAGTTTGTTTTGTTCTATCCCTATAGTGATGGAGTGAGAACACGAGTAACAATAAATAAAATAACAAAATATCCTTGTTGTATGTTGTGCATGTCTATGAAGGTGTTCTATGATCTGATGAATTACCTCGAGATATTACAGTAAAAATCTTCAACCATTCTTACCCTTCCCTCGTACGACAAATATTTTAAATTGCAGGCTTGTTCCTACAGCCATAAGACAACGAACTCTATTCTTGATAAGTTTGAAAATTACCTTTAATAATTAAAATCCAGATGCTACCATGTTTTATATCATTCCTTTCAATGATGAACGCTTTGATACTTCCGTTAGTGGAAGAAAAATATCAATTCCGACGAATCCACAGGAAAAATCTGCCATTCGGATCGTCAGTTTTGACATTTGTTCTTTTTTTCGTGTCAAGATTATTGCAGGAATTGCGTCTTTGTCCCGTACTGCCACACCTCAGTCTCCCGTAAGTCTTGGCGACACGAAGGTCACTTTTCCCAAAGGCGGCAGTTGCAAGGGCTAATAAAGAAAATATTGTCCGTTTAATTGTGAAGTATAATTTTATACTCTTAATTACTATCAAAACATTAACAAATGATAAATTAGCATTCCTATTTTTATGATGTATCCAATGATAATGAAAAAATAGATTATAGTTGAAAAGAAAAAGATTCAATTTTACCAAATATATATAAACTATCAATTTTTCTACAGCATATTACTAGTCCCATTATTACGAACTGTTGAAAGAAAACCCCATTAAGATACGAGTATTTCAAAGTTTACAGGCATTTCACTGTTCAAAGTTTACAGGCTATGAGGGTGGTCTGTATTTGGCGAGTCTAGCGTATACGAGAATTTGTGAAGTATGAGTGATATTTTACTATGACTATTCCACTCGTGAAATTAAAACCAATTGTGTTTAACTATTCATACAAAATGCCCCAATCCGGGCGGTGTATCTCAGAACGTTTATCCTTTTTTCTATCCGATTTTTCTTACCGCTTCTTCCTACTGACTCATTTATTTTAGGAGGTAGTAACCTATTTAATTTTAACATAGCTTTCAGTTATTTTCAATATTTGACGCATTTTGGAACTCCGCTGGGCATAATTTCACTTTCATAATTACAAACAGTCCTATTCACTAATGCCACTCGTGCTTAGAAAATTCTCAGATAAATTCCAAAGCACTCGCGGTATCACCTATGATTATTTCGCGAATGAAATAATACTGAGAGGAGGAGGGCAAGAAACACGATAGGAAAGAGGGAGACGGGGGGATAAGGAGGAGAAGGAAATTAGCAAAAGCAGAAGGGTTCTGAGAAAGCGAAGAAGACGTATGAGAAAGAGGAAAATAACTGGAAGGAAGAGGAAAAAGAGAATGAAAAGAAGGGGAGAAAGGGGAAGGAAAAGACGAATGAGAGTAAGGAGGAGAATGTGTGTGTGTGTGTGTGTGTGTGTGTGTGCGCGCGCGCGCGCGCGCGTGCGTGCGTGCGTGAGAGAGAGAGAGAGAGAGAGAGAGAGAGAGAGAGAGAGAGAGAGTGTTCCCTTTGTCCATGAAATATATGTATTCACAAAATTGAGAATGTTTTAGAATAGGTTGGAATAGAAAAGATCTTGGCGATCATAACAGCAATAATTATCACTTTCGAGGAGGTGGTAAAGAAATACTTGTAACTTTGGATAAATAACATTCTATTCTGGTGTGTATGTGATCCCGTATCTTGAACGGTATTGACAGAAATGTCCTGCGTATCATAGGTTAATATTGAAAAGGAGATTCGGAGGTTTCGGAAGCCCGTTCACTGCGCCGTTGGGGCGCGCAAGAGGAGCCGCGTCGGCCCCTGGCGCGGCGCGGCGCTAAGCCATCAATCAACGGATTCAATGAGCGCGCGCGGCCCTCGCAAGGGCACTCGGGGTCCAGATAGCGAGGGCAGGGTCAACAGCCACGGACACGTGAAGGATCGATCGCCTCAGCCGAGGTACACTTTTCTACTCTCCCTATCTCCCTCTCCTCTTGTCTCCCTCACTCTCCCCCAGTCTCCCTCACTCTCCCCCAGTCTCCCTCACTCTCCCCCAGTCTCCCTCTTTCTCCCCCAGTCCCCCTCTTTCTCCACCAGCCTCCGTCTTTCTCCCCCAGTCTCCCTCTTTCTCCACCAGCCTCCCTCTTTCTCCTCCAGTCTCCCTCCCTTCCCTCCACCCGTGTCCCTTCCCTTCACATCTCTCCCGCCAATCTGACCTCTATACTCTCCCCCTCTCATACAGTTTCTGATGGCACTGTAACTCTTGTTTGTCATCAGCGTATTAGTATTATTCATATTCACCGTATTCGTTTTCTAGGTCAAGGGGAAAGGTTCGCTTCAGAATGAGCTTCACCATGACCGCAGTAATAGCAAAGGGAAGGCGACATAATGGATAAGGGATGTCATTCACAGCACTGCCCCGGCGTTCGCCTAGAATTAACGGAAGGATACGACCGATCCGGCCACTAAAATCATTATCTAGGCGGCGGCGCCAGCCTACGCGTCTACTAACATCTAAAATCTGCTAACACACTTGTGAAGTGAGCGAGCCTGCGCTAGCTAACGGATGAACGCAGTATAGTGCCGCTAACAAACAATGCCAAATAACATGGAATGCAATGTCTTCGTGGTTATAGAACACATTCATTTAGTACATACGAATGAAGTATAAATGACTAGTATGAACATTCATTGTCAATTAATTCATTTTTAATGAAACCTTACAAAAATGAAGAGTGGTTCCGGTGCTATTCATATTATAATTTAACCATTTTAATAACCATTACTTCTCACTTGCCACAATTCCTAGTTTAGTTTCCTACCTTAATTCGCCTGACGCAATTTATGGCTTAAACTATACAGTTAGTGTATAAAAATATCTTACCCAAATTTTTTTTCCTAAACTACTGAATTTTATTGTTTCCGGGAAATATTTACAACAATTTGCTTTAGATTGTTATTGCGAGTAAAAAGTGCATTCTTCACATAAGTATTGCATACACGTTGCAAATATCCCTCTCCACAAATTAACCACTAAACACTATCGTGTTAACAAACTACTTCAATCACTTATTAATCATACCTTATGAGCTGTCTTCTATTATGTGTTCTTGGCACGCCCATCACATAATTCATACCATATCACATCACCACACAACACAGCACAATAAAATAAAACTATACGTCATTAGCAATAAGCATTCGACTTAACACATAGGCAGTCAGCCACAAAAACGCGTCTACACGGGTGATACGTCGAGACACTACTGCGCACATCTGACAGAAATACCTTGATTTACTGTCACGTGATCACAAATTGCGTGATTGCGCGTTAGCCTATGAATGTAGTCCAGGTAGAAACGCAAACAATATGCTACAATTCAAACTGCTAGCCAGTAAACTAAATATTCTTCGACGCAAACCATAGTATATGCCTTCCGTCTTCTCCCTTATCGTAGCCCAGTTCTCAAACTGTCTTCATAATGTAGCGAGACCGGTGAACGAAATTGAAGAACGGGTCTCAGTACTAGAACAACGAACTGTTTGGCACAGAAGTATTTTCTAATAACATGGATTGGAGGTTATGCGTGGACGGTACTCTCGGATGTTTTATGTTAGTCGCTTAAGCCGAAGGCCGCAGCCTCGTCATGAACTTGGATATTTGGAGCGAACGTCAACTCCGCCTTAAAACTTTGAAGTTATAAATGCGACTCCATTCCGCCATCGATGTGATTCGTTCGTCATGCTCTCGTGGAAGTGATTCGATTCCTTCAATATGGAGTGCATTAATAGATAAGACCCTTGTTCTTTTCTCCATATTATTCTTGACAAATCATCGCACTTCTCAGTTTGCTTTATCATATAAACTCTTCTTACAGGCATGTTCAAATATTATATTTTCTAAGAATAGGAAGTCTCTTTGAAAGTACAGAGGGAACTGGAGGATTGTCAATGCCTACACGAAATGGAACGTATTCGAGAAATCTTTTTTCAAATGTTCTTTCATTCCTTACCATCATTTCCAGGGTGTCGGTGTAAAATTAAAAGGAAAGAAAAAATGTTTTTGTCACCGAATCTACGCTACAAAAACTCTACATAATTTCTGTTAAAAAAAAAGATTTACAGAGTCTCTTTCATAAATTTGCACATCTCTGTTTTTTCATTAATTTTATCAGACTTTGAAAACTTCCCGTGAAAAGATTGATGCCTATCCTAATGTCATAAAAGATGAAAACGAGTCTGCAACAGCATGAATGAGATATATAATAAATAAACAAAAGACCACGGTATGAAAAGATAAGAATTCAAAAACGAACATTGTGGCAAAAACGTTTATGGAAGGAGAGAAAACACGATAGGATAGGAAAATAATAGGAGTTATGATTGAGGAAAAAACGATAGTCGATAGTAACAAAACACAGATCTTCTAATAGTGTATATTTCAAACACGTTTTCCCCCAAAAATATTACTTTGGACATAACATCCTTTATCCAGCAAAAATATGATCCTTTTACTTTGTCGTATACGTACATGTGTACGGAGTAATATACGTAGTATGGATAAAACTATGTACTAATACTGCAAAATTGTGTTGTTTTTTTTGACAAAAAAGTGCTTTTGTGGCTTCTTGATACCGTTATAAAGAGGATATTTATTGCTCTATACGTAGTAAGTTATTTTTCTGTTACGTAGGCAGATTTCACATTTTGTGGTTCCTGAATACCAAAGAAGCGGTGTTTTTGAAAATGTCCGTCTGTTTGTGAACAACATTACCACCTAAACGATTAATAGGATTTTCGTCAAAATGAATATTCCACGGTTGATCTGGACTGACTTGAAGCTCTGCTATTTCCAACAGAGTACTTCAAATTTTGAATACACTTTATTGAAAACCCTGGAATATTTTTCAAAGTTTCTCAGAAACGTCTCCAAATTTTGTCTTTAAATTTATTGTAAGAATACCTTGAAATACTCTTATAAAGATGGCACACTCGCTATTTCCATTTCATCCCTGAATTTTCGAAAACTGCAAAAGTTAGACATTTGTTTACCCGCCGCTTAAATCTAAATTATTGAAGACAATTTTTTTCTATTGATATTTGTTCTCTCCAATTAGTTTTTTAAATTTATGTCAAAGACAATTTTTAAAAAATAGTAGTTTTCGCGCTTTTTGTGCATTTTGTGACATATGGACAATATTAAAAAGATTTTCTCAAATAACAGCGCATAATTTGTTTGTTAAAATTTTTGTATCGATAATGCTAATGCAATGATTTACATGACAAACGCTATTTTTATGGATTTTTTTATTTTTCAAAAATTACACAATTTATTTTTAAAATATCACTCCCGTCGTTAAAATTTACTCGTGCATTAAAGAAAAATTCATATCCGCCACGCCTCGCCAACCCCTTCGCACTTTAAAACAAATGCTGCAGTGATTTGCAAAAGATGACCAACGGGGTGACCCAAGCAAGCGAGTGTTTCAGTGTGGGCACATGCGACCCCTCCGTTTAGCACCACGTTTTGCGCTGTTTATTCTGCACGCGCCGCCGCCTTTCCGGCGGGCGCACAGGCGGCGCGGCCCCGGGGCAATTGAACACGCCCCGCGTGCATCTAATGGGCCGTGGGCGCCTCCCTGCGCGCCGCGACAGCCGGACAAAGCCCTGTGGCCCGCGCGATGCAAAGACTGTGATTTCCAAGAGAGAGCATTCGCCTTTCTGCTATAGATTTCAGCATTTCGCGTGGTTGGAGGCCTTATGTTAATAAATGATGATGTGGATAAAACTATGCTGTACTTGCGTTCTTGGCTATCCGGAATGAGCCGCGTCTCGGTCAATTGTACTGACGTTTCGGCCATCTTGCTGTGGCCTTCTTCAAGAGCTCTCTAGCTTGCTGTATTTGTAATTATGCCAAAGATTAAGTACCTCACTAAAGACTTCATATTTTCCTTTAAAAGGTTCTTCTTCATTTACACATTCACAAGAGTATGTAATTTTTACTATGCAAATTTATCTTTGATTTCTATTATTCCTTGCTAGTGGCTGCAATTACACTATTTTATCTCTTGTAATTTCAAGTAATTTCATTCTTGGAAGCGTTCATTAACTCATTCTGTAGTGCAAGAATGCACTAAATCATAAACAAGTATTATCATTTATTGATTTGTTATGGTTTATTCATCATATATTATTCGTTAATTATTATTAATTACTTATTATTTATTACTTATGTTTTATTTATTTACAATTATTTATTCATGTTGCTATGCCACTTTCTGTCCTGTTTAGGACGACTGTGCGCGCAACGGCGAGTGTCGTAAAGGGGGGGCGTCTGCGAATAATGAGGACAACTGCGCACCAGCGCTGGCTGACTGCGCGCGCGCACCGGCTGCGCGCTGTGCGAGACGAGACGGAGGGATGCATTTGTCACACGCGGTAATTCTTCGTAAACATGCTGTTCTTGACACCAGTCACAGGAAGTCTTAGTTTCTTCTTTGTTTTTGTTGCCTTTGAGCTCTTCTTCTCAATGGAAGAGAGAAGACGTGTCGTCGTGTAACTAATTACTAGTCGTAATGCATCGAAGCATCCGCTGTGGGTACGTAAACAGGGGTAACACCAGCAAGAAGCAGTATAACGAACGTTTTTATAGAAAGTAGAACAAAATGATGGCTCTAAAAAATTATTTTGCTGGGAATTACTTCCTTATTTTTGAGCTATTTACCGTTTTTAGGAATAGTCGCAGAATGCCCTACAAAGAATTGATTCAAAATTTAGCAAGGAGACAATATCTTGCCAAAAATATTAAAATTCACACTGCACCTGATATCTCACTTACCATTCGTGATCAAGTTGGGAACATTTCTGGCACGAAAATATATGCATCTTTTAAATGTTGTACGCGTAAGAAAAAAATTAATTATTGTCTGAATTTATTTACAATCAATATGCTCAAAATATTTAAACGAACTTATTTCACCTGCCATTCACATCGATATTCTTTATTATACAATGGTGTTCCCGGTTTTCCTCTTTGACGTACGAGAGGCAACTTTCAGAACGACAGTCAATCACGTATTGATTGGCGTTTCGAAGTTACAGTTTGTTGTGACTGACAAATAATTTGAGTGCACGAAACGCTGAACATTGTACCGAGTTTGACGTCTGTCAGCTCCTTTCCATTCCACAATCCACCAGCAGGAAAAAGCGCGAGCAACGGGGAAGAAAGATCGCGTCTACCACCCCGATTGCTCAATCTCCCCACGTCCCGTTCTGGCTCGCGCATAACAATGGCGGCGTTAATTTGCGGGTAGGTTGGCAGCGCGACGCCGAAGAAAGAGAGGACTGCTGAAATAGAATCCATAATTTACTGCAAGCTCTGTGCCCCTTCCATTAATGCATCACGCTCAATCTTCTTTCGTTTTTTGTTTCCTCTTCCGTTCCTGCACTCGTGCCTAATGCGAATTTTTAGTCTGCATTAAGAGACGTTGAGTGATATACCCCACTCACCGAGATAAAATAAGTCTTAATGGCGACGATTAAAACGTTAATTACAATCTTCAATCATTATCTCGAACTCAGAGAGACGCAACGTAAGCAAATTGCTTTAATGTTACAGTTGGTAAGTTCTTGGAGTTTGACTCTTTGACCGGATGCAAAGTGAAACGCAACGAGTGTGACATACGACGGCATAAAGCAAGAATCAAGGAGGCATTTTGTAGATTTCTTGAATTATGAGGCGCAAAGTACTACATTAATTTTAGCATTTTCACGCCGTGTGTAACAAAGAGCCTTTCTGCGGTAGCTAAGGAACGAAGTCGTAAGTTACGCTTGTCGGATGAAAGGAAACAATCAATTCACTTGGTGTAGGACAAGCCTGAATAATTCTGACTTAGTGGAGTCTCAAGTTAGCGGGAAGCTGTCGTATACTGGCAACGGAATTGCAGCAAGTTTCCTTTTTAGGTAATACTTTGGAATGCACAGTCTTGACATGTGCTTTGCATAGCGTTCGTAACGAATGTTAAATAATTAAGGAAATTTCAATGGAAATGTGTGTTACGTTTGTATTACATAAGCATATAATTTAGAGCAAAATATCTTGAATACCGGCCAAGGCCGTACAAATGTGCTCTCTCAAAACAATGTCTGCTATTTTTTTACGTAAGATCACTGAAGAGAAACTCGATACATTATATTGTTCCGACACTTTTACAATTCTTATGTCTTCCACTACTCATTTAAATCTACGCATTTTTTAACATTAATAAAATGTTACAAATAGCATATGTCAATGAATCATTCAAAAGCGAAATGTCTAGTTATTTAACATACAAGACCGGAAACTTAATTTTTACTTCGGAGACCGAAAACCGAAGAGTTATACTAGGGCAAGTATTTCCCGGGCGTGTGATTTTTTATGATATGCTTTATATTGTGTCGATTTTAATTGATAATACAGTGAACGTTACAGATTACTGACGAACCACACAAAAATTGAAACCTATTCAAAGCAATAGGTATCAGTTGCA